TCCAACAAAGGCTTGTTCCTTATTCCACTAATGTATGTATAATAATCTCCCCCATTTTGTTTTTAAGGTTTTTTTTTTTTTAATTTAATGAATGTTTAGGCATGTAGTAGTGATTTTTCCCTGGTACTGTAATTGAATTCTTGGGTATTGTATGCTGGAGTTGTGTTGGTTGGAATTTGGTTTGATAAGGGTTACACGGGATGAAGAGTATTAGGGCTCTTCTCTTTGTCCTTTCTAATATATCTAGCAGAATCAACATTACACAATGCATGTTTTCAACGTGGAAAAAAATATATTTGCAAATAGAAGGCTACTGTAATAAGGGAGAAGTTTAAAAATTCCCATGTGATATTGTTTTAAATCACTTATATCCTTTTTTTAATCACTTAACTTCGTGTTATTTTTTTATCCACCTCTCCTTTACACTATTCAAAATTTGACTAAATATATCTACTTTATCTTTCTTAGAAGAAGAAAATAAAGTGATAAAAAAGGAAAACAAGATCAAATGTTGTGAAAGTTTAGAATACTTAATAAAAGACTAAAATAAAAAAAGACAAATGTGTCTAAATAAAAAAATAGAACAAGGACAAAAAAGTAGAAGAAAAAATAAGACCAAATATGTTAAAAGTCATAACAGTAATAGACAAAACTAAAATTTAAAAAAAATATAAATAGTCTAATTGAAAAAATATATACTGAATACAAAAAATAGAAGAATAAATTAAGATAATAAATAGAAAAAAAAGAAATAATAGTTTCGAATTTTTAATATATTTGGTTTTATTCTTTTATTTTTTATCTCTGATTTATTTTATTATTTTTATTTAGATATGTTTGTTCTTTTTTATATGCATATTTTATTCTCTCTTTTTAATTTTTTTTTTTACAAAAGTATTTAATAAATGGGATGGCACAGCCGCTCAAGGCTAAAAGAAGAAGAAGAATAAAATCAAAATAAAATAGATTAAAAAGTGAAAAAATAAAAATAGAAAAAAGATTAAACATATCTAAATAAAAAAGAATAAAATAGATCAAGGAAAAAAAAACAAAAACAAAACCAAATATATTGAAAACTCATAATTGTGATTTCTTTTTATTTCATTTTTTTATCTTAACTTTTTCTTTTATTTTTCGTCTTCCGTATTTTTTTTTTCATTTGGACTATTTTTTTTTTTTAATTTTAGTTTTTTATGCCACTGTTGTGATATTTAAGTCTTTTATGTTACTATTGTGATTTTTAATATATCTAATTTTATTTTTCTTCTATGTTTTTCTTTATTCTATTTTTTATTTTGACACATGATTTTTTTTTTTTACTTTTATTAAGTGTTCTAAGTTTTTAAAATATTTGATCTTATTTTTTTTATTACTTTATAAGAAAGGTAAAATATGTATATATGGTTAAGTTTCTAATAATATTAAGCAAGAATATAGATAAAAAAAATTACAGAAAATTAAATGATTAAAAAAAATATAGAGATATTAATGATTGAAAAGTAAATACCATTTTTGGTCCCCAACAAATTTCACGAAGCCCGCTTTAGTCCCTAGCAAATAAAAAGGCCAATCGTGGTCCCTAAAAAATTCAAAATGGACCTATTTTAGTCCTTTTGGGGATTAATATGAGTCTTTTTTGAATTTGTGAGGGATCTCGATTTCAACTAAATGAGTTCATTTTAAATTTTGTAAGGACCACGATTGGTCTTTTTATTTTTTAGGGACTAAAAAGGGCATTGTAAAATTTGCTGAGGACCAAAAAGGTATTTACTCATGATTGAAAAAAAGATTTTTGAACTTTTTCGTTGTAATAATGTAATTGATTACACGGGTTTATAGCTGGTACAGAGAGCACGTGAATTTCAATATAAGCAATTTTTTGAACCATGTGACTTTTTTTTTGTTGATACAATGAACCACATGACTTTAAATATAGTTGTGCAGATGTTCTGATTTAATTCAATTATTTGCCTTGTAAGAACTAAAGGAAAAACTATTCTTATGTTGCTTAAGATATATTTTTTTTCCTACACACTCTTCGATAATTGTGTTATTTTTTTTTATTTTTTTTCAGGTGGTGGAGCTCACAAATTTATCTCTATAACATAAGATAACTATTTTCTTTAACATGAGATTAATAAAACCCAAGAACTAAACATCTTCTCCCAGTACAAATTTGTCTTCTCTCCTCAACCTCAAGTACCTCTTCCTCCACAACAACCCAAAATTTGTACCCATTACAAATTTGTTTTCTAGCATTTTTTGTTTAATTTTTTTTTTGAGTATAGGAATAATTTCTCATTAGGATTACAAAATATGTTAGTTGTATATTTTATACCTTGAAGGTGAAAGTAGAAGCGGATATATAGATAGATGGCTTCGTGAAGGAACAAATCTCCTAATTAACAAAAAGTAGAAGCGGATATATAGATAGATGGCTTCATTAGGAAATTATATTTTTGTAAAAGAAGAATTTATATAGCTTAAATATTTAAGAGAAAATATCATTTTTAGTCCTTAACAAAAAATACGGTCCCCCACCTTAGTCCCTTACAAAAATAAATTAGTCAGTTAGTTCTTAACAAATTCAAAGTGAACTCATTTAGTTGAAATCGTGGTCCCTCACAAATTCAAAAAAGATCCATATTAGTCTCTCAAATGGACTAAAATGGGTCCACCTTGAATTTGTTAAGGACTAACTGACTAATTTATTATTGTAAGGGACTAAAGTGGGGACCGTGTTTTTTGTTAGGGATCAAAAAGGATCTTTACTCAATATTTAACATGAATTTTAAAAACAAAATAACAAACTTTTATTTGGAATGTTTTCAACATTAACCAGATACACACCTCCACATCTCAACAGTACTAAATTAATTAACGTTGACATTTCAAAAAACTAATATAGCCATAATGATGATCAATGGTTGTATTTTATGTTTCATTTAATCTTTTCCTATAGAAAATAAAATAAAGATATTTTTTTAAACTTTATTCTTATTTTTAGTATTTTTTTAATTTAATAAGAAAAATCTAGATCCTATAAATAGATGTGCAATTGTTGTTGTTATGATATGCTAGATCGAGATGTCTAATCAGAGATTAATATATTAATATAAGATTTGTTTGTCCTCTAGGTACTTATGAGGGAGGTACTCTAGATATCAGTGGATCACTGTGCACAATAATATAAACGACATAGTCAAGGCGTGAAGTGTGTGCACAGTAACAAGCTATAAAAGAGAGAGTTTTGAGAGAGAGTGTACCTTGTTGGCTTAACTCATTATTTATAGATGGGTTACCTGATTGGAGTGAACTTCTGAGCCTCAAGTATTGGGGGTTCAATTATTGATCCATTGCTGCCGTAATAAGATTAATATAATTAAAAAATATTTTTTTAATTCTCTCTTAGCTGTTAGCCCTATTTAAACCTTCTAGAATGTGGACGTTTATGAAGTCCATAACAATTGTGATTACTCAATCCTCGATCTCCAAGGGACCCTATGGATCTTGCTTTCATTTTCCAAACTATTTCAGCAATATTAGCTTTATTGATTACATAAGCTGTTTTTAGGTCCATTACATCAAATAATGAACCTAATCTTTTCAAAGTGCCTGAACCGATGTCATGAAAGACCAAATCTTCTAACATTATAGTTAAACTTAAGCATCAATACCTGGCCGATGTCAATTTGAGTCTTAAGTTCATTAGGAAATTATTTTTTAGTAAAAGAAAATTTTATATAGCTTAAATATTTACTATGAATTTCAAAAACAAAATAACAAACTTCTATTTAAGCTATACAAAATTTTATATAACTTAAATAATAAATTGATTTCACTTGAGATTTTAAAAAATTAGTATAGCCACAATGATGATGAATGATTGCATTTTTGTTTCATTTAATCGTTAGCTATAGAAAATAAAATAAAAAATCATTTTTTTTAACTTTATCCTTATTTTTAATATTTTTTTATTTAATAAGAAGAAACATTAATATAATAATAATGTTTTTTTTTATAAACTAATAATAATGTTTTAATTATTTTATCGGAAGACAATTTAGTCAGATACAATTATATACTTTTCAATTGAAGTTATTTAATAAATTTTTAATTTGTGTGCAATAACTTCAAATATTTTTAAACGGAGATAGTTAGAGAAACGCACTTCGTAACACAAACCTTTTATTTTTTGGAAAATGTGTGTCATTTTAAATCACACATCTTACATTCTGTCACTCTCATAAATAAGTGGTGTTATGGATATGAATATCATATCCCAACTACCCATCTAAGAATCTATTAAGAGATAAGATTCATGAGCATCTCAACAACTCTATAACAGTCAGAGGGCACAAGATAAGGATCACATCCCAACAGAAAGGGAGTTGAATCATACTGCAATTGGGGGAGCTCAAAGGGCCCAAGCCTAGGAAGGTAATCCTATAAATAAGAGCCTAAAGACCCCACGTAAAACTTTTGACCTATTTACGAATACTGCCCACACTGTGCACACACCCACCCCCTTGGCTATAAGCCTATTGCTTGTGCGCATTGATTGAGACCTCGGCTATAAGCCTAGTATACATCTGATATACACTATCTTTGAGCGCATATCATACGGTATAGCAATACAGTCTATCCAGGACCTAACATTAGCGTCGTCTGTGGAAAAAACGATAAATTTCGATTCCCATTCCACGATGACGAACACTTATTCGACGTCCAACAACGTCCAAATACCGCCACACCAGTCCGCAACGGAGCAGCTCCAGGCGACTGCAACACCCGTGCTGGTAGACGTACAGGTCGAAGAGGTCGGCCTTCAGGGACCGACTCCCAGACCCCAGCCCAACACGACAGCGGATACAATTCGCCCACCTCCACACAATGAGCCACCGTCGAATGTGACCACGATGGCCATGAGTGCAATCCTCTAAAGGTTGCAAGAGATGGAAAACAGATTCCTGACTCAGCAACGATTAGATGCCCAAAGGATGGCGGCATTCGAGATCGAGCTGAGAAACCGGAACGCAGAGGGCCGACCTGGAGGAGCAGGTCAGCTCCTGAATGGCGGATCTCCACATCATAACGCCGAAGGCGTCCATCATCAAAACGCTGAAGGCTGACCTGGAGGGAATGGCCATGCTGGCAATGGTAGGCCACAACGTCAGAACGCGGCTACAGTCGAAGGAAATGCACAGAACGTGCAGAACCCTAACCTCGGCAACAACCAGAATGGTGGAGGTCCGAACGACAACCAAGACGAGAATTATCTAAATGATGAGGAGGCTAATGATAGCCCATTCACTAAAAGGCTCATGAACTTGGCTATACCGCCGAGATTCAAGAGCACCAGGATACCTCCATACGACGGAAGTCAGGACCTAGAAGCCCATTTAGAGGCTTTCAAGACCGAGATGTTGTTCAACGGGATCACTCCTATTAAGGCCAGAATCTTCACGACGACATTGACTGGTCAGGCGATGACTTGGATAACCAGGCTTCCTAGGAACTCAATCGACTCGTTTGAGGACCTAGCCCGGACTTTTCGATTGAACTTTGCAACAAGTAAGGCGCATCCAATGCCGACCTATGCTCTGGGAAGAATCCGGCAGAAGGAGAATGAATCGCTGAGGAAATACCTCGACAGGTTCAAGGATGCCGCCCTCAAGGTTCGGGGCTTAACTGAAGCAGTGCACCTCCACTTAATCATCTCGGGATTAGATGGCGACTCTTCACTTGCGATGTCCATCTATAAGAACCCGGTGAACGATCTGGAAGAGTTCCGACAAAGGTCGGATAAATACATTGACGTGGAAGACATGCAAAAGGTCTACGTCGAATCTCGAGGGCGAAGTCCGACATGTCGGAGCCCGAGTAAGAAAAACAACAAAGACCGAGACCAGAGGGGATCCAAAAAAGCGAAGGATACTCGCGATAGAAGGTCGAAAGATCGATCTCCAAGGAGGAAATATGACAATTATACACCTTTGAACATGTCCAGATCCAGGATATGGAAAGAGGTGGCTCAGACCGAGATGCGCAATGTCGAGAGACCTCGACCCCTCAAAGCCAAGAGTGGGCTGGACAGAAACAAATATTGCGCCTTCTATGATCAAAACGGTAACATCACGGATGACTGCTGGGACCTCCGAGATGCAATTGAAAAACACGTCAGAGAGGGGAAGTTGAAGCAATATATCATCCGAACCCAGGGCAAGAAGAATAATAAGCGAAGGCAAAGAAGCCGGAGCCGAAGTTGAAGCCCGAAGAGAGAGGATAGGAAGGATCCAAGACAAGACTGCCCTGCCAAAGGCAAAGAGGTCGGAGATAAGGATGAGGCTTTTCCCGAAGCCGAATTCGAGTGCAACGTGATAAGCGGAGCCCTGGGCGGGGGAGGAGACACGTCCAATGCAAGAATAAAGTACATGAAAGAGGTCATGTCTGTCAGAGACAGGCCGACCTTCAAAGGAAAAGCCAGCAATCCTGCCCCCCCAAGACTGTTCTTCACTTAGGAGGAATTAGCGATGGTCGTACCCGGACATACTGACGGGTTGATAATCACCAGAGTGCTAGTCAACTGTCGGGTTAAGAGAATCTTCATTGACCACGGAAGCTCGGAAGGCATAATTTTCTGGGACGCTTTCCAGAGAATGAACCTGGACGAGAAGGACTTGAAGCCATGCGTCACCGAGCTGGTAGGGTTCAACGGAGCGTCGTCCCCTCCAAAAGGCTATATTGATTTGAAACTCACTTTAGGCATGAAGGACTCATTCCGAGTTGGAAGGGTTCGTTTCGTAGTGGTAGACACCTCGTCTTCCTACAACGTGATCATTGGCAGGCCTACAATCCATGACTGGGATATGCTGATCTCCACCAAGCATCAAGCACTGAAGATGCCAGGGGCGAATAACAAGATTATCACCTTAAGGGGGGATCAGAAAGAATCTAGGGAGTGCTACTACGAGACCCTGAGGGTCCATCAAGGAAGTCCATAATCTCCTCTTCGGCTTAAAAGTGGAGGAGCTAAGGACCAATCGCTAAAGGCATGTGAAAACGAGGTAAACGTGATTGAACTCGACATGAGGGAGGAGCTCCAAGCACCTCGTCCAGAACCCCAGGGGGAGTTGGAAGATGTCAAGATTGGGGAGAACGATAAAGGGCACACCAAGGTGGGAAAAATTCTAGAAGCCGACTTCAAAAAGGAGCTGATTTCCTTCTTAAAGGAAAACTCCGACGTATTCGCATGGAAGGCCTCGGAGATCCCAGGAATAAACCCAACTTTCTGCTGCCACAAGCTCTCCATGTACCCCGGATCGCAGCCAGTGTCCCAAAAGAAGAGGATGATAGGATCTGACCGACGTCAAGCTTTAAATGAACACGTCGACGAGCTGTTAGAAGCCGGATTCATCAAGGAGATACAATACACCACGTGGCTGTCCAACGTGGTGATGGTAAAGAAACCAAGTGGAAAGTGGAGGATCTGCGTGGATTACACCGACCTCAATAAGGTCTGCCCAAATGACTCGTACCCAATACCAAGCATTGACCAGCTAGTTGATAATTCATCAGGATTTCAGCTACTATCATTTATGGACGCGTACTCTGGGTACAATCAAATCCCACTACACCCAGACGACCATGAAAAAACCGCCTTCATCTCAGAAAAGGGAAATTTCTGCTACAACATCATGCCTTTCGGCCTCAAAAATGCAGGGGCGACCTATCAAAAGATGATGAACCGCGTTTTTCAAGCGCAAATTGGAAGAAACCTAGAGGTCTACATCTACGACATGATCGTCAAGTCAATGCGTATATCGGCACATATCGCCGACCTCAGGGAGACTTTTGAGCAGCTAAGAGCTCGCAAGATCAGGCTGAACCCGGCCAAATGCGCTTTTGGGGTACCAGCTGGAAAATTCCTGGGCTTCATGCTTACCAACCGAGGAATATAAGTAAACCCCGACAAATGCAAGGCCGTCCTCAAGATGAAGTAGCCTGAAAGCAAGAAAGAAATTCAACAGCTCACAGGTCGCCTTGCGACCTTGACCAGATTTTTGCCTAAATCGGCAGAGAAGGCTTTGCCTTTCTTCAAGCTCCTAAAAAAAAAGGCGGAGTTCGGATGAGGGGAAGAATGCAAAAAGGCGTTTGAAAATATTAAGAATTGCCTAGCCACCCCTCCCGTACCGTCAAAGCTAGAGATCGGAGAAACATTGATCTTGTACCTATCAGTGGGGGAAGGGGCCATCAGTGCCGCTTTGGTACGAGAAACCGAAAAGTCACAACAGCCGATCTACTTTGTAGGTTGGACATTGCAAGGACCAGAAATTCATTACCAGAAGCTCGAAAAGGTTGCATTCGCCCTGCTTACCACGGCAAGAGGCTCCGACCTTATTTCCAGGGTCACCGAGTCATTGTGCGAACAAACTAGCCCATCAGGAAAGTACTTCACAAGCCGGACCTAGCAGGAAGGATGATCAACTGGGCCGTCGAGCTCTCCGAGTTCGATATATCATATGAACCTCGGCAGGCAATTAAGTCGCAAGCGTTGGCCAATTTCATCTTGGAGTTAACCCCATCCAATGAAAAGGGAGAAGGGAATGAAGATCTCTGGACAATATATGTCGACGGATCCTCGAACTCTAAGGGGAGCGGGGCCGGGGTGATCGTTGAAAGCTCTGAAGGAGTGTCCATTGAACACTCACTTCACCTAGCATTTCCGACCTCAAACAACTAAGCTGAATACGAGGCGTTCATTGCCGGGATCGTGCAAGCAAAAGAGCACGGAGCAAGGAGGATAAAAATCATGAGTGACTCACAGCTGGTTACTTCACAAGTTGAGGGAAAATATCAAGCCAAGGGTCCCCTCATGATGAAGTACCTCCAACAGGTTAAGGAGCTATTAGCCGAGTTTGACGAGGTGGTAGTCCAGTACATACCTCAGAACGAGAATAGTAGGGCCGACATACACAACAAAAAAATAGGCATTTAGCGGCGGTTCATTTTTGGTATACGCGACGGTTACAACTGCCCCTAATTGCAAAAATGCATTTAGCGACGGTTGTAACCGTCGCGTATACCAAAAATGAACCGCTGCAAAATGCTTGTTTTTTTGTGATCTTATCTAAACTCGCCAGCTCGAAAGGCTCAGGAAACCATCGCACTGTAATACAACAGAGCATTCGGGAGTCGACCTGCGTCATGATGATAACCGAGACTGAGGATTGGAGAAGGCCAATAGTGGCCTACCTGGAAAAAGGAGACCTGCCAGACGAAACACAAGAGGCCAAAAAACTCGTGAGGAACTCGGCCTGCTTCACCATAGTAGAAGGGCAACTCTACAAAAAGGGTTTCTACACACCCATGCTGAAATGCCTAAATAAGAATGATGTTGAGTATGTGCTGGCCGAGATCCATGAGGGCATAAACGGACACCACATTGGAGGAAAAGCTCTTGCCAGGAAGGCACTAAGGGCAGGATACTACTGGCCCACCATGGAAGCAGATGCGAAGGAGCACGTCAAAAGATGCGAATAGTGTCAGAAACATGCACTAATCCTTCGTGCACCCCCCGAAGAGCTGCAAACTATCACGACACCATGGCCATTCTTCAAATGGGGGATGGACCTGTTGGGACCATTTACCGCAGCTGAAGGACAACTCAAGTGGTTGATAGTGGCTGTTGACTAGTTCACCAAGTGGATCGAGGCTGAACCCCTCACCACCATTACCCAGAGCCGCATTTTATTTTGCTTGCACAGCAACTAAAAAGCTTTACGTTCTGTGCTTCATATATGCCTTGCTTTCCCTAATCATATGATATTATTACCAAGCAAACATGCAGAAGGTGCTATTTCGTTATTTTCTGTGTCGTTGAGAGTAAATGGAGGATTCAATCGCTCATTTACATTCGTGTCTTGCTTACGTGTGTTTGTCATAAACTGCATTTGTGAGGAAATTATGTTTTTCTTTTTTCTATTAAGAGTAATTTTGGTACCTTTTAAAAAGTTTAACTCTGTTAACAAAATTTTGGATGGAAAATCAAATTAAGGGGATAAGTGATAAAGAAATTTTAAGTAAGGAGGTAAATGATTAAAAATTTCGGAAAGAGGGTTAAGTGATTTTGAGAAAACTTGTAGGATTTTTTTTTAAGTTTGCCCAAAAAAAATATGGTGTGCTAGAGTTACTTTTATTTTATCATATATTATCAGAAATTAAGTGATAGACAGAAATTTTACAATTAATGAAAGGACCCACCATCACGAGTAATTACATTCAAAATTAGTTATGTTGTTATATATCTAATTAATAATGGGAAATCATTATCTCATGTTGCATCAGATAATTATCTCATGCAACAGAGACAAAGTAGTGTGGTCCACATTATTTTTTATTTTTTATTTTTTTACAAATGGTGGACCCCACTATCTTGTCTCTGTTGCATGAGATAATTATCTCATGCAAAATACATTACAAGAAAAAAGTTTATTTGTGACGAAAAAATTGTCATAAATTGTCACAAATGACAATTTTTTACACAAATAATCAAATTTGGTCACAAATAAACTTACGACGCAGGAATTTGTAACGAAATTTCATAAAATTTTGTCACTAATAAGATATTTTCTTGTAGTGATAAGATTAATAGATCCCATTAATAATTCCCTTTCTTGTTATTTACTAAAAATAAAAAATCCAGATTCTATAAATAGATGTGCAAGTATTGTGATTACTCAATCCTCTCCAAGGACCCTATGGATCTTGCTTTCAATTTCCAAACTATTTCTGCAATATTAGCTTTATTGATTGTATATACTGTTTTTAGGTCCATTACATCAAATAATGGACCTAAAGAAATCAAGGGTAGCTCCAAGTATAACAAAGTGCCTGAACCATGTGGTGCTTTGCCTTTCATAGGTCACCTCCATCTTCTAAATGCTAATGAACCATATTTTAGGACCTTTTCAGCTATGGCTGAGAAATATGGTTCAATCTTCTCCCTCAGGCTTGGTTGCCACAACACCTTAGTTGTGAGTAACAGGGAAATTGCCAAAGAATGCCTCATAACAAATGACAAAGCTTTTGCTTCAAGGCCAAACATAGCTGCAGGGAGATACATGGGTTACAACAATGCCATTTTGGGTCTTGCCCCTTATGGAAAATACTGGCGTGACATGAGAAAAATTGCCACCCTTGAGATTCTTTCAAGTCACAGGCTTGAAAAGCTTAAGCATGTTAGAGACAGAGAAATATTTTCTCTTGTCAAAGATCTGTACAACTCATTATCATTGGCAAAGAATATGAGTAATTCAATTGAAGTTCCAATAAGCAATTTTTTGGAACACATGACATTTAATTATATTGTGCAGATGATAGCAGGGAAGCGATTTAGTGCTGAGACCATACGGCAAGGAGATAGTGAGGCATGGAGATTAAGGAGGGCTATCAAAGATTTTACATATCTCAGTGGTGTTTTTGTGATGGCTGATGCTATTCCTTACCTTAGTTGGTTTGATTTTCAAGGGCATGTGAGTTTCATGAAGAGGACTTTTAAGGAAATAGACTTGATTCTTGATAAGTGGATGAATGAACATGTGAGAAAGAGGGTTGAAGATGGGAATGGTGGATGTGAAAATGACTTCATGGATGTGTTGATATCGACGTTTGAAGAACATGATGTGTTTTGTGGCCACAAGCGGGAGATAGTGATAAAAGCAACAGCACTGGTACGTTTGCTCTTTAGTAGTTGGTTATTAATTAGAAGTAATTTTCAAAGGTATACTCGTACATTAAGAAATTTATACACATGTATTAATGGGGAGGAATCTAGAAGTCTTATACTCTATTTTAGTCTATGATTTTCTTAAAAGTTTATTAGGGATTCATAATTAATTAATAGATATAATTCAATAAATTACAATTATCAGATACATAGAAATAAATTAAGACTTTTTATTCTTACACCAGAATAAAAAAAATCTTTCCCCAATATAAACAATACATATTTTGAATTGTCTCTATAACTACAATAAAATTATTTTTGTCAAGAGTTAAACTTTTAATCCTGTATTAAACATGTGGGTGCGGCTGATCAGTATTCAAAAGAATACAATTAATGCACACTGCAAATACAATATATATACACACACAATTATAATAACCAATGCTTTACGTAGAAATAGAATGGGATGGTAGAAATGTAAATCGTAGAAATGATATAAAACACAAAGTTTTTACTATTTAAGATCAAGATATAAAATTATATATATATATATATATATATATATATATATATATATATATATAAATCACATAAATCACCATTCAAAATTCAATGAACAACTTTATATTTAAAAGATATAAGTCATATAACTATATAAGACATAAGTCCAAAAACATATAAAAGAGTTTAATAGCTCCTACAACCAAGTTTCAAAACATCAAAAGAATAAAATTTAATAACTTCTAAATTATATCAATTAATTCAAATCAAACACATCATTTTGCATAAGTTGCTTATCCTTAATGTCTTTTTTCTCTTACTTCTATAACAATTTCATTTGTAATAAAATATAATAAATTTATCCAAAATCCACCTCTGGTACTCAAATTTTTCACCAATGGCTTGATCTTGTTCTTTCCCTGCAATAGCGACCTCATGTGAGGTTTTTTTTTTTTTTTTTTTTTTTTCAAATAGCTAGAAGAAGATACTATGCATTTTGATTTGGGGGAAACAGAAATAGATTTTTTCTTTTTTCTTTTTTTAAAAAAAGAGAATTATGAATTAAAAGTTGACCTGATTCAATTTTTTTATTTTTTTGTATAAAACTCGATTCATAATTTTGGTTTAAGTAAAAACGTAGAAAAATGCGATTTTACTATTTTTACGTTTTTGAACAAAATTTTTACCAATTTTTACTGATTAGAGTTTTTATTTGTGTTTTAACATGTATATATCTCTCCAATAAAAACATAAGTTTTAATGATTTTAGATTAGTTTTTGACACAATGGTAATAGCTATTGTAATAGAAATATTTCGTCTTCTGCAGTTTTATCTTCTAATTCAGTCACTTAATTATCAATAATGTAAAGTAAAATACATTCCACAAATTATGTTCTAAGGAATATTCTTCTAGGACAAAGTCAACCTTATTCGCCAGTCATTATTGAAGTTGCCACCCATATATACTACACTTTTCAACTGGAATAAACTTGAATTATAACTATAAATGCATATAGCTTGTTCAACTATTATTTCCCTCTACGAGAAAAAATTTTCCTACACAAATTTGAAGATTTTTGTTTGGGTTCTATATATAATACAGGGTTTTAAATACTTTTCCCAAAGAACTGAAACTCCTGTGTGACACACTGATCGACACTCATGTGTGACACAGTGACGCTCTACCTGACTATTGAAAAAGACTGATAAATCTGTGCCAAGCATTTCGTAACCATACAAACAACAATTTATGCGGATTCATGCATGTTGATATTCTTCTAAAAGGAGCATGATATTATTATTATTATTATAAATTTCTTTACTTTTAAAAATAATTTTATACTTTTCTTTTTAAGAGCATGTAATTTTTCTAATGACTGTAATTTTTTTTTTTTTGGGTGATACAGTAACTTCTAACAGAAATCTTGTAATTATTATATCAGCTAATTGTAATGTAAGGCATATATTTTGAGTTTATCCCATTTAGCTTTGGGTATTATCCTAACTTAACAAGTAGGGAGATTTTATTTACAATATCTTTTCTTTTATAACTTCTTACAAATATTTTTATTATTATTGGATCAAAATCAAATCAACAATTATAAAATAATATTAAATATCATTAATTTGATTTTGATCAAATAACCACTTTTATTAAATGAGAACTGTTAATTTAATTGATTTTGATTCAACAACTATAAAAATAGTTATAAGAGATTGCAAGGAAAAAGAGATCGTAAATAAAACCTTTAATTAACAATACTTTAATGTTATGTCTTGGATTCATATTGCACTCAAATTTCTTTTATGCTTTTACAGTGCAAGAAAAAAGAAAAATTCTTTAACTAACAAATTTTTGGTACAGTTTCTTATCCATATTTAAAAGATCACTTAACTATATAAGACATTAGTCCAAAAACAAAAAAAGAGTTTAATAACTCCTACAATTAAATTTCAAAACATCAAAAGAATAAAATTTAATAACTTCTAAATTATATCAATTAATTCAAATCAAACACAGCATTTTGCATCCTCAATGTCTTTTTCTCTTGCTCCTATAACAAGTTCATTTGCAATAAAACATAATAGATTGATCCAAAACCACCTAAGTTTGGTACTCAAACTTTTCATCAATGGCTTCATTTTGTTCTTTCTCTGGAATAGCGACCTCATGCGAGGTTTTTTTTTTTTTTTTTTAAATAACTAGAAGAAGATACTATACATTTTGATTTGGGGAAAATAGAAATAGTTTTTTTTTAAAAAAAAAAAAAACAGAGTCATGAATTAAAAGTTGACCCGATTCAATTTTTTTATTTTTTTTGTATAAGACCCGATTCATAATTTTGGTTTAAGTAAAAACGTAGAAAAATGCGTTTTTACTATTTTTACGTTTTGCACAGAATTTTTACCAATTTTTATTTATGAGAGTTTTTATTTGTGTTTTAACATGTATCACTTCAATAAAAATATAAGTTTCTATGTTTTTAGATTAGTTTTTGAAAACAATGGTAATAGCTATTGTAATAGAAATATTTCGTTTTCTGCAGTTTTATATTCTAATTCAGTCACTTAATTATCAATAATGTAAAGTAAAATACATTCCACAAATTATGTTCTAAGGAATATTCTTCTAGGACAAAGTTAACCTCATTCGTCGGTCATTATTGAGGGACATTGACTGTACTGTCTATTTTTTTCATAATAATATACTCGAATCTCATGGAATGCAATTTTTTTTTTAAACTGTCATTATATCATAATCACTGAGATTGTTAATTATTATGAACCGGACACATGTCACCCCCAGATTGAAAAAGCCTAACAGGGCTGTTGCGTGTTGCACCAAAGTAGCTACGCGACTTTGGTTGAACGAGGCACGCGTCCTTCATTTGCCCAAAATAACCCGTGTGCAGCAATTATGAACTACTTTTTCTGAATTGTTATTTTCCTCCGCGAGAAAAAATTTTCCTACCCAAATTTGAAGATTTTTGTTGGGATTCCATAATACAGGGCTATAAATACTTTTCCCAAAGAACTGACACTCATGTGTGACACACTGACACTCTACCTGACTATTGAAAAAGACTGATAAATCTGTGCCAAGCATTTCGTAACTATACAAACAACAATTTATACGGATTCATGCATGTTGATATTCTTCTAAAAGGAGCGTGATATTATTATTATTATGCCCCCAACTTTTTTTTTTATAAACTCTTACAAATTATATTACGTAGAATCGGTTCTACATTAATCACACAGTGTACAATCGGTCCTACATTAGTGTAATTGTAAAAAAAATTTGTAAACGGATTCTGTCTCTATTATTATTATTATAAATTTCTTTATTTTAAAAATAAATTTATACTTTTCGTTTTAAGTGTATGTAATTTTTCGAATGACTGTAATTGTTTTTTTTTTTTTTGGTGATACAGTAACTTCTAACAGAAATATTGTAATTATTATATCAGCTAATTGTAATGTAAGGCATATATTTTGAGTTTATCCCATTTAGCTTTGGGTGTTATCCTAACTTAACAAGGAGGGCGATTTTATTTACAATATCTTTTTTTCTTACAAATATTTTTATTATTGTCCGATCAAAATCAAATTAACAATTATAAAATAATATTAAATATATCATTAATTTGGTTTTGATCTAATAGCCACTTTTATTAAATGAGAACCGTTATTTTAATTGATTTTGATTCAACAACTATAAAAATAGTTTTAAGAGATTATAAGAAAAAAGAGATCGTAAATATAACCTCTCGTTAACAATATTAGTTTAATGTTATGTCTTGGATTCATATTGCACTCAAATTTCTTTTATGCTTTTACAGTGCAAGAAAAAAGAAAAATTCTTTAACTAACAAATTTTTGGAACAGTTTCTTATCCTTACGGCCTCAGGAAGCACAGCCATAACACTAACATGGGCACTTTCCTTGCTCCTAAACCATCCAAGTGTCCTGAAGGCTGCACAACAAGAGCTAGACAACAAAATTGGAAAAGACAAATGGGTTCAGGAATGTGACATCAAAGACCTCAATTATTTACAAGCCATTATCAAAGAGACCCTTCGTCTATACCCAGCAGCACCCTTAACAGGAATAAGGGAAGCCATTGATGATTGCAATGTGGCAGGTTACCATGTCCCAAAAGGCACTCGTTTGTTTGTTAACCTATGGAAGCTACAGAGAGACCCAAAAATATGGTCCAACCCTGATGAGTTTCAACCTGAGAGGTTCCTCACCACTCATGTAGACCTTGATTTCCAGAGTCAGAACTTTGAGTTTATACCATTTAGCTTTGGAAGAAGATCATGTCCTGGCATGACATTTGGGCTGCAAGTGGTTCACTTGACTCTGGCTCGGTTGCTTCAAGGGTTTGATATATACACAAAATCAGGTGTTCCAGTTGATATGAAAGAAGGTTTAGGAGTGGCCATGCCTAAGGAAAACACACTTAAAGTTATTCTCCAACCACGTCTTCCAATGGAGCTTTATGAAAGTCTTTAAATCAAGTGAGTAAAAATTAAGTGGTCGATCCAATGGGGCTTATTGTCTTATTAAAATTAGAAATAAGTGGTACCACTGAGCATGTAGGTCAACTGGATTTACCGCTTTTGTTGTCTTGCCTATCTCGACCGGATCAATCGATGAACTGGGGGAGAAATATAAAAAAATAAAATAAATAAAGAAGTTGTAGAATAAATGTAATTGAGTTATATCTGTATAATTCTAGTGTGTGTAACACAAAGTTAGCGTCTGAGTGTTGAAAAATTATTCCTGGGATGAAGCCAAAAATAATTTGCTCGCGTTTCTTGTTTCTCTAGTGGTTTATGTTTTAATGGTAATATAATGTTTTATTTTTAAATATATTTGCTTGTGTCTCTAAACTTTTCTTTCATATTATACTTTGACGTTTTGTTGGTTATATTATTATGCGCAGCTTATCTTAAGCAAGTCAAGAGGGACAATTATTTGAAGAGTGTTTGTGATTTATGAGAAACCCTTTCCTGCAAAATTATTTGGTACTGGTAGAGAAATAGATGGTGAATTCCTTAATCAATAAAATTAACGCGCAACAAGGTTATTTGGTCAACTCAAAGAATATATGAATAACTTGCTTATATGACTTAGGCTTTCTTAGAAGTACATTTTCCGCTCGGCCATTGACTCCGTCGTAGTACTGAGTCATTGAGTTATTGGTTCAACCAATGAGTTATTGGTTGATCCGGTTAAACCGGATAAATATATATATAAATCCATATTCTTTATTTAGAACTTAAAAAAAAAAAACAATACAACCTAAGCACAATTTAACAACATTAACTTTATAATAATGTAGTGGAATTAATATTGAATTTTACCCGTAAATTACACTCAAGGAGTTCTCCTTATTTATAATTTAAAAGAAAAGAAAAGAATAAGATGCCTTCTGAAAAATCAAATTAAACAAGTAAAAGGGATATGCAAAGCAAATGGGTCTTATATAGTGTTGGGTGGTTAGTTTTATAAAGAACTAAGCAATATTCACAACATAAAAAGTATAAAGCTGAAGCATTGTCTATTTATCAGACAAAAAAAAAAAAAAAAAAACTAGAGTATACAAACCATGGTTACACTCTCTCACACACTCAATGACACAAAATGTATATCATATTAATATCTTAAATGTTCTCCTTAAGCGTATATGATCAGCTGCAGTAACCTATACAGAAGACTACACAGGTGCAAGAATTAAGTACCAAACAGGATGAATAATATTATAAACATAAGCAATCGCATTTCCCTTTTCACATAAAGTATCAAACTCATTTAATCAGAACCTTGGAAACTTTTAATTTGAATAATTCTTGCATCCCACACTTCCTTCAAATAGTTAATTTCAGAAGAAAAAAAAATTTCAAAGCCAAAAAGGTAACAGAGGAAATGGAACTATATCTATGAATTATGACAGCAAAGAGCAGGTGAAAAATTGCTTTTGATGATTATAGATACTAAGTGATGAACCTTGTTTTGTGAAGGAAAATTCAGAAGATAGAGAATTCATAGAACCGTGGTAACCAAGCAACAGTGTGGTGGTTGAATCATTTCTTCAAACACATGGACTATTGAGTGTTGAATCATTTCGTCAAACACATGGACTGTTGAATGTGCTCACATCTCAAAACAAACGAATTGATGTAATTAGAACCAAAAAAGGTAGTAAAACAAGAATTTAACACAAAATCTCCAGAGAACTACACATTTGAAGATGACTACCCAAATACCCAAAATTCTATGAAATTCATACAATGATGGAAGATGATGAACAGAAACCCATGATATAATTTGACTTATACCTGAATATTGATGGAAGGACCACTTAAACGGTGTTGAGAATAGTTTTAAAAATTTGTCATAAGCCATCTTCAGCAAGGAGGTCTGTTCGTACTACTGGGGAGGCTAGTTCGTGAAAGAGGAGTTAGGTGGCAGCATAAACAAGAAGGATCACCACACTAACATAATGGAGAATCCTCGTGGGTCTGTGTTGTGTTATAAGAGGTAAAGTTTTATGAAACCAAGAATCATGATGAGGTTAGTCAATCTAATGGTACGAGGTGTGTTAGGTGTGTGTAGTGTTTAATTTCTATTGTAATAAAAAAAAAAGAGAATCACGATGATCAGGTGCATTTCAAACCACATTGGTCTTTAGGCTTCTGCAGATCCAATTGCATCAACAATTAGTGTCAGAGTCGAATTGTGTGTTTGAGTGTAGATCTAGTTCTTTGGGTTCATTCATGTAATTAGTTTCCTTCTTGAAATATGGTATCTAGGATTTGATATTTGTTACTCATATGATTTGTATGTGTATCTTTTTGTTATTCTTTTCATAAAAATCGATGTTTTGATTTAGGCTTTTGGCTTTATTCCACGATAGAGATTTATGTGTGTTCTTTTGGGATTGTAATAAGGGAGCTAATCCTTTATGATTAGGTTTCCTCTTTGAATTTTATTTCAATTTTTGTATATTTTCAATATCTTATAAAATTGTAATGAAAAGAAGATCACAAAGAAACCAAAATAAGGACATTCCAAGCCATTTTGACATGTTCGTGATCGATCAGTGGCCAATTGAAGAAAACAAATGCATAGAGTGAAAGAGGATGGAAATAATATGAAGATGGCAGCCAGATTTTCCCCAGAAGGTACGTCGCGCCTACACTTGCCACCTCAATTGGCTACACATGGGCTTCACGAGCTGGTGCTGCTAGTATTTGGGTGTCCTAGAAACAATCTTATGATTAAATAAGGACATAGATGTAGACCTTTTTAATATTGTCCCAAATAAATAAAAGCACTCTTTATCTTGTTTCATAATTCTGTCTCGATATTAATGTTAATATATTATGAATAACTTGATAAACCCCGTGGAATAAAATAGGTATCTCTTGAGTATCTGTGATGAGATCACAATCATGAGGATTCAAGAATACCAGATGTTTATTCCTAATTTTATGTTCCTAGTCTAGAGATACTGAGAATGGGGTCAGTAATCTCGGGTAAGACTAGCACGACTTATCTACTTGTATATGGATACAAGGTATAGACCTCATGTGCTACAGATATGGAGATGTCTTAGCTAAAGTCGTGGGTGGACCTATAAGGGTATAGCTCGTACTGAACAGACCCACAAAAGAGACTTTATGAGGAAATCTCACAGAGAGTATCATTAGAGTAGTCTCTTTATATTTGGGTATGTCTTTCCTTAGACCAGAAGTTATTACCTAGACTGTGTTCTAGAAGGCATGCTTTGACTGTATACCTCGTCTGCCTGAAACACGGAGACTCATAGGTATACGGTTGGGCTTGTTCTGAAAGAGCACAGGGCTAGGGTGATAAGCTGAAGGAATTCGTCAAATCTCTGTGAGAGATTAGGTTATCTGTAAACCGGAGAAATCGGGATGACATTTACAGGGACTCGGGAATCTATGCATAGTAAAAGAGATCATGAGATGATCTGCCTTTAGAGTCAGTAAATTGAAGATTCCCTATTTCGAATAAAACTTACCCTAAACCGCAAGGGTTGATACGTTTCCTTACCCTAGGTTTTATGGGAAGATAACCGAGACAAAAGGAAATACATACGGCAACCAAATATGTGTAATAGGATGATTATGTCATTAACCTAACTAGCTCTGGGGCAACAAAGCATTGCTAGTGCTCTGTGTTATCATTAGATGGGTTGTGGGCTTATTGGGCCCAAGCCCATTTATGTCAGTGGCTATGTTGGGCCTAATGTGTCACACACTAACACCTTATTGTCATGACAATATAGCATTAAGGGTATTGGGCCTAATAATGGTTGTTAGCCCAAGAAGAAGTTTGGAAGCCCAACAAAAGGGAAAAAGGGCGCATGGTTAGTTAATGGGCTTGGATGGTCCAAGACATTACTAATTAATTTAATCAGTTAAATTAATTATCAAATGTTTAAATTTTGAATTTTGAATTTGAAATTTGAAATTTGAAATTTGAAATTTGAATTTGAATTTTGAATTTGAAATTTGAAATTTGAAATTTGAATTTGAAATTTGAAATTTTGAATTTTGAATTTTGAATTTGAAATTTGAATTTGAATTTGAATTTGGAATTTGAATTTGAATTTAAAAATTTAAATATTTGAACGTTTGAATTCAAATGTTTGAATTCGAATTTGAATTGGCTATGAAAAGTTGTTTCATAACGAAAGGATAAGATAAGATCTTGTTGGAACAAATCCCAAATATCAAGAGGAGATCTTTGAGAATCTTCTAGTGAGGATATGGGGTGCTGATTTTGGCATCTGATGATGGTCATAGGATCAACCAAATGAGCTCCAGTCAGATTTGGTTTGTTGAGAGAATAAGTGAGACAGTTGGTTCAAGTTTGAATGCATCTGCTCAATGTATCTGGACTGTTATGAGGCCAGGTGGGGCGCACCATATGGCTGACCATATGATGGTTGTTGAGTCAGATTCTTGTTGAGATATTCACTTGATATCATGAGGATGTGAGAGGAGGTTGTTGACAAGATTTGAATTTTGCAACAACTCCACTCATCCCCCTAGTGTGCGCTACATAGGGATTTTATTTAAGTGAAGAAAATCTGATTTTAATTAGATCATTCTCTCATCTCCTTGTGGGTTCCTTTTGTGAGGTTTTTCTTAAGAGAGTTTCGAAATAACCTAGCCTTTTTCAAAGAAAACCATGCGCCACTTTTGTGTCTATTCTTGCTGAATATTCACTCTTCTAAACACCTTGACCTAGCATCCTCCTTCACACATTGGGCGCATAGCTTGCCTCCATTGGTGTTTTCGTTGGTGGCCTTGAAGAAGAGTTCTTCCGTCTTGACAAAGGGTGGTGTGGATCAACATTAGAGGGCTTGCATCTTCAAGCCTCATCTTGATCATCCTCCAGTTTTGGAAAGCAAACAAGGTAACATCCATGCCCTAAAGCATGTTTCTTGATATGGTATGTGTTATTCCGCTCGAAAAATTTTGTTTTTCCCTCTCACATGCCTCGACCTTCAAGGTCAGTTTCTTTCAGGTGCAAATTCAGCGCATGAGGGCGCGTCCGGTCGCATTGTGTCCCTCTCCTCATGGCAATTCTGTCCCTAGGTTTTTGTGCTGAGATGACTTCATGTAACGATGTGATGGGCATAACGCTAGGATTTCAAAGAAAAGATTTAGGGTTTCTTGCCCATGGTTGCCAAAATGGCTTGAACCAAAACGTTATAGACTTATAAAGAAGGAGGAAAGTAAGAGTACAAGTCAGAGATTATTTTGGCCATAAAATATTGGATTGTAATTTTATTTTATTTTATTTTATTTTTTTAGAAAATCTTGGATTATAGTTT